TGGTGAACTTGTCCCACCACACAGCAAGTAAACTCAGTACAAATATCACAGTTCTTATATAGGACTGTACAAGTAGTGGTGAACTTGTCCCACCACACAGCAAGTAAACTCAGTACAAATATCACAGTTCTTATACAGGACTGTACAAGTAGTGGTGAACTTGTCCCACAACACAGCAAGTAAACTCAGTATAAATATCACATCACAGTTCTTATATAGGACTGTACAAGTAGTGGTGAACTTGTCCCACCACATACACTTAGTACTGATTTGTAAACTCAGTACAAATATGTTGTTACATTCAGTATTTTATGCTCAATTTTAACTGTTTGTATTTCACATGATACTGTAATTGTTGAGTTTTTCCCAGCTTGCTCTGCTGTGGTACTATATATACTCTCCACTCCCTCTGTTTTATTTTTATCATATAATAGATATTACGTCAGAGTAATACTACAGTATATTTTGAATTTTTTGATTGCATTCTTTACATTGTTATAAGTTCAGAATTGAATGGTGTTAAAGATGGTTTTGATGTGAATAACACTATTTGTGGTGAAATATTCTTGGTTTTGCTTAACAAGACTTGTAGGTTTTACAAGCACTATTGGTATGCCCACCACTTTACAATCTGCTAAAGCGGTTACCTCGTGATGGCTTAACTAGAAGTGATTCTTCAACTCCTGTCACCGACAGTTTGTAAGTATTTCAAAATGTTTCAGTTTTATATTTCAACTATTCATTTCTATGCAGTGAATCTTTCTTGAATTTTCTTAAAATGTATCTTATTCACTTCCTCGGGGATAGAATATAATTGTGAAAGATGTTAGAATCATAAATCAAAACACGCTCAGCAACATAAGTAAACTTTTAAAGTAATAAAGGATGCTGTAAGTATATTAGTTTAATATGTGATTGCTGTTTAGGTGATGTGAATACTATATAGCTTCTTGTATAAGCCTGTTTCATATTTTTTGTTAACTTGGATCTTTGTTGTACATATTATTTGGTGAGTTACCCTGTGTTATCCAATCAAAAATATCACACTTCATGCTTAGAAGTTCCAAAGTAGACTTGTCACTGTTGTGGATAACGATTTACAAAAGACATTATAATAAACATATCAGCTTTGTGCTCTAATGCCAGTTTTGTGATATATAAGCAAATAATAAACATATATGTAAGAAAGGATAGGTTTTTAACTTTCATGGAAACTCACAAACTTAATTTTGTATCAACTAGTAGATTCAAATGTCTTAACTGTTTTTTACTTAAAAGGAACTAATCTGTTATTACTATATTTAGCAATGTTAAAGTACTGTAAGTAGCTTTATATGGGTCAGGTTATATGTTTATTGGTAGTTTCACACAAATAATATAGCATCACAGAAAAAAGTATGTTAAAAAATAGCCCATTTATTAAAAATAGTGTCCTCACAAACATTATTACTTTTAATTATTTCTGTATGGCATGGTTAAAGTATGACTCATTAGAATTACTGTTTAAATATCAATGTATGTCAGTAAAGAGAAATATTTAAACAAATACCCATTCATCACTTGTCACATCTGCACTCTGAATTCTTCATTATGATATTATAATTTCAATAATGGAGCTTTTATAGTGTCTAACAAATCAGAAGCACAAACTATAAAAGGCTTATTCCCTTTGTCATTCTGTTGAGAATGCTTTCATGCTCCTTTTTTGGTAATGCTCAACAAAATACATCGTCACTTAGCAAAAAAACTATCACCTGATTGTTCTTAGGCCAACTGTGGGGTTTATGTTGAATGCTCAATATTCATGTTGATTTGTTAGAAAGTTTTGTTTTTTATTCATTTTTTAAAATAAACATTTATTACTACCAAATATCTTTTATCCTTTGTACAGTCGAAAGAGTTGAAAATTTGTGTTGGAATACTTGCAATGCGTTTTCTACTTCCTTACCTAGAATACAGTGAAAAGGCTTAAGAGTGCTATTTAGGTCTCTTTCAGAGTGCACACATACTTTTGTTTAGGATAACATTTCATTTTAAGTGTAACTTTTACTACAAAATTGGTGATTAAAGACTTAATTTGAGACTGATGAAATAAGTGAAGAGTAGGTGCATTTTGGAGGTACAGACAAATTTGTTTTAGTTAAATTCTATAATTTTCATTAATCATTCAGTGATGTTTCCCATAATTTTTCATGGGCTTTTATAGTAGTCTGTAAAATATTTTATGTTGCTTTCAAATATGCATTTTATAACAAAATATATTAGGTATACTAGAATAGAATGTTCAAAGCTATTAGTTAACGGTGTCTCATGTGGACCAAACAAGATAAGCGTATTACTGAGTCTGTACATTAATCTGTGTTGTATTATTTTAGAAGAAACAGTACTCCATTCTGATGAGATTGCTTTTTTTGTTGCTCCTCTTTAGTTACATTACACTGTGACATTGATGGAAACTTGTTCATTAAATCTGTAGTGATATAATCTTCATTCAAAATGGTCCTTAGAGAACAACTTTCCATTTTGTTTGTTGTAGTTACATACCAGTACATGTGTTTATTCTTTGCCGGACATTTACAGGGACAAAATATCTTGGTTCACATCGCACTTTGCGAATCAAACTACCCCAATTGTGAATTATTTCCTTTTTGCTTAGCATAACATGCAAATTATTTCTTTCTCTTGTATTTTGTGTTAGAGACCTTCAACAACACGGTAAAAGTGCCGTAATGTTTCATTTTGATAAACCAAAGCCGATGTTCATTTCTCACAAATTCCTGCCAAACAGCACATACAGTATTCTCACACTTTGTCACATGCATGTCGAATACACTTACACTTTGTAGTAGTCTGTTGATAACTTTTGGAATGTGCCCAGTAGGCATCAACAGTCAGGCCAACTAAACTAGACTACGTATGAACAATACATGCACTGCACGTTCAGCATTGAGCTAGTTATGAACTCTCAATATGAACTAAGTCCCAACGACCAACCGTGTGTCTATTTTTACTTGTATATAGTTTTAATACTCTAACTTTTAATACAGTAAAAGTATATTCACAAAATTTGGCAAACTTTTAGTAACAAATTACAAGTCATTTGTACACAAAACAATAGTTTTTCAAGGAAGTATTTTTATTGAAGATTTGTTTTTGAATATATAGTCTTTTTTTTTTTTACTAGTCCAAGTACAAAACAATTTTCACATTAAGATTAAAAATACTTTCTTCATCTCAAATGTCATTGCGTAATTTTTAAAACCTAAATACATTTCAAATGTTTTGTTTTTCAGTAAAATTTTTTTTGTCTATGTTAACTTTATACAAGGTTGTTCAGTTTGACCGACCTCTTAGTCACAAAAAAAGAAAAATCAAAATTAAGTCTAAATTATTCTTTTCTTTTTTCTAGAATGACTTCAAATTGTAACATGAAACTACATTTGTTTTTCTTAAGTAGTTTAAACTTGTAACAATATACATCTATTTATACTTAAATAATATTGTTTCATTGCCCTTTGAACCATGTCTAACTACTAGATTTACTTGTGCCATTATAAGTTGTAATTCACTTGGGGAATGTGCAGCTCACGTTACACTATTGAATTACATTACCCACAAGCTACTCTGAGCTTCTCAGGTGCATGCCACATGAAAAATTTTATTATAATATTATTATTATTTATTTTACCCAATGTAACCTAAAGAGTTTCCTATTTTTACATTTTAGTTACTTTTCTAATAATAAATAAATAATATACATGAAAAACAAGAAATAAAGTATTTACCTGGGCCTTCTTTTAATTTTTGCTGTAGACTGTTGATGACACAGAACCATACTTTTTTATATTACTGGGAGTGGTGCACTAAATAATTTTTATTCAGTTAAATAATGCATCAAAGAACATAGAATAATAACATTCAAAGAGCAGACAATATCTCATAACTATCACCGTTTTTCTGGCTTTCTAACTATGCGACAAAAGCTGTTACGAATTCATCCAAATCAGTCAATGTGTTTCCTGTGGGAATGAAACTTGTACTGAAAGAGAAATTAATAAAATGTAATACGTCATTATTGGTTAAAAATAATATAGTATTAAATGTAAGAGGGAACTATTGGTGAATCTTGAAATAGAGGATGTGACAGGTGGGTGTGGCAAGAAGGGTCTAATTTTCTATTTGATGGGTCTGTAACAAACAAAATTGAATGCTATGAAAAGTATGCTCTACCTGAGCAATGGAATCATTATAATAACTAATTTACATTAAACTTTGTACTTTTTTGAGGGGTGGTAAATAAGTTAGGGAAGTGATCCCCTAGAGAAGAAATGTCACATTTCTCACACTATGGGAAATTCAGAATATTTTTGTAATGTTGCCTTATAAAATTAGGAACTTAAAACTTGCATACCATTAAAATATGGATTATTAGCTCTGAGTTTAAGCTGTACTAATTGGTATAACATGAACATGCAGTAAGAAGTTTATTTAAATTTTGAATGTAAACTCGCTAAAAATCTTGTGACATGCACAGTAAAGGATACCCATGGCAAGAGGGGTAATTACTGCTGCAAAGTCACTAGACATTTTCTTCTTCAAAGAGACCATGTTGTGAAGAGAATGAAATATACAAGATTAATTTGAAAAACAATTTATAACAACCTTGTTCAGTTGCCAAATCTTCAAGTCACTTCTTTCTCAGGTTAATCGATTGTTGCATTATTTTGTGATAGTTGTGGTGTTTGGTATTTCTTGCAGTTTTGAAGTTTTACTTTATATACCAGGAACTATTTTGTTCATGAAATACCATGTATGGTACAATTAAATATCAGGGTTTGAAGCTGAATAAAAGTGTTATAATAATAAAACGTACCATTTACCTTTTTTCATTGGTGGATGTCTTTACAAAGAGTTGAGAATTTAGTTGCCATAATGTGTTAAAATGATGAATGTTAAAAGATGTTAAGCAATATTTGCTAATTGCTAATCAAATTCAGTATTGATTAGCAATTTCTGCTAACCAAATCCACCAGACTATTTTGTCTTCTGATTTGTTATTTATTTTGAATAAGTTCGGTGTGGTGGCTGGGTGGGGAAAAAAACCAATACAGCAGTAAACTGTAGAAAAACATGTAATATTCAATTGAATGCATATGCCCATAAGTAGCTTAAATTTATTCTTCATAAATGGACATAAACAAACTTAAGGTAAAAGACTAGTAAAAATTATTAAATTGAGAAGGGGGATAAGGATTGTATTAAAGTACAGAAACAAGTTGACACAAAATGCAAATATTATATTTTCAAGTCTACAAGTAAGGACTCTAAAAAAAAAAAAGTAAACAAGGCTGGTAATAGTATCCATATTATTTTCTCAAGCTATAAATCCCTATTTTGACTCCGTGTCTACTGTACTTATCACTTTTAGTGTGTAGACATAGTCAAAATAGGAATTTGTAGCCTGAGAAAATAATGTAGACACTATTTCCAGTCTAGTTTGTTTACCTTTTTGTAGTGTCCCTAGTTGTAGGCTTGAAAATATAATATTTGCATTTTGATTCAACTTGTTTTTGTACTTTTTGATTATCTCTATTCTCCCCCCCCCTTTAAATTTTTTTTACTAATTTTGTATCTATAGTAAGAACTTGTTATTAGTTGGACTCTGTTAAACCAACAAAGGGATAAAAAGAAAAACTAAAATAAGTAATTCAGAACCATCAAACAGGAAAATGAAGAATGAGAATTCATTTAAGATTTTTTTTTTTAAATTAAGACATTAAAACTCAGATAATATAAAATATTAATTATAAACTATGTTTTGATGCCAGGCTTATTGACACACACATTGGTAATAAAGTAGTCTAAATTGTGAATATAATTATAAGAAGGTTGTGATGTGCACTTTGACCCATCTGTATCCAGAGGGCTAACATGGGATTTGCACTAGATCCTTGTACATCAGTGAATTTTCTTCTGTATGCTGGCTCAGCATGGCCAAGTGTTTACGGAGCTTGAATCTTATTCTGAGGGTCACAGGTTTCAATCCCCATTACACCAAACATGCTCGCTCCTTCAGCCATGAGAGCATTATAATGTGACAGTCAATCCAACTATGTGTTGGTAAAATAGTCGTCCAAGAGTTGGCAGTGGGTGGTGATGACTAACTGTCTTCCCTCTAGTCTTTCACTGCTAAATTAGGGATGGCTAGTGCAGATAGCCCTTGTGTAGCTTTGCACAAAATTCAAAACAAACCAAACATATGTATGCCAAGTGTTCTTGGAAAGTATTATTAATATGGGATTTACACCTAGTACCACACAGAGAAGTGAATTTCTTCATTCTAAATGCCCAGTATTCTCAGAAAGAATTTTACTTTCCAGTTTATAAAAGGTTAGATTCTAATCAAAGTAATTAAAATAAAAAAAATTAAGACAAGTTCATACTACTGGCTCTTTAGTGCTCTGGGTTTAAATTCCTAGTATTACCATTGAGCTTAACTTTATCATTCCCTGTGGTATTTCAAAATGTTGGTAATAATTTGGTGGCCTATATAAACTTTTCATGTGTTTTCTCTTGATTTATGAACTTTAACTGTATTTCTGAACAATCATATGTTTACCTAGTTGAATATATTAATTTTTACAATAAACTTTAATAGTATTGTGCCTTCATATTGAACCTGCACTCTTTTTTTAATTTACTTTAATGACAGTTTTCTCTTAACCTACTAAAAGTTATAGTGATTACAATGAAGTTTGGCAGAACCAAACATGTGAGCACTCTTATAAGTAGTGAGTTCACTCTTCTTTCAGTGTGAATTAGTTGTATTGAAAATTTAGAAAAACATGCAATTGATCTAAGTATGTTCTCAAATACTGCATAACTTTGCAACTTTAATGAGGAAGTAAGGCAGAGTTAGTTTTTATTCTTTTTTTCTTTATCATGCAGAATATGTTTCATGAACGAGTTTCCTCCCATGCCATATGGAAGCAAGAGGAAAAGAAAAGAAGATCTCAGTTTTGGAAAACCCTTTGAACCAAGCTATGTCTATTCTTTGGTCAGTCTTCTGAATTCAACCCATATTGAGGTAGTGTAGATTTTTCAAATACGTTTTGTATAATTGGATTATTTAAAATTTAGTTCATTTGCTCAGTGTATCCGCACTTTGTTCACCTTGGGGAATTAAACTGTGGATTTTAGTGAAGAAAAAGAAGCATATGTTAGAATTAAATTTTTAGTGACTATATAATGCGTAGACAATGATATGTAGACTATATAATATTAAACACTAGATAACGTATAAATAAACACACATACATCCATACACATATATAAATTTAATTGATGAAGAAATATAAATGGTAAAGCAGTCCTCATTCAAAATAAGGGAGAATAAATAATTGAAGCCACGTTGAAGAAGTATAAATTATTTCAACTTTGTTTTGTATAGTAGGATTATATTTTGTATTTCAAAAACAATACTTTTACACTACATTGTAATGGAAATGATGCTAGCTTTATGAATATCTAAAAGTTTAACATGATTGTTGAAACCAGATGAAATATATTTAATGGTAATTAAGCCAGCTACAAAATCATCACCACAAAGTTTTAAGTAATAGTATTATTATAGTGTTTACAATTAGGCCCAAATACACAAATTGTTAAGAAAGTAAAATATTACGGAATAACATGCTTGCTTTTGAATACTAGGTATCATGGTGTTTCTTCATAAACAGAACTCTCCAAAGTAAAACATCGACTCTGAATTCAGTCATTGTTTATTACTCAGTGTCACCTTGAGAAGAGAAATGTGCCATTGTTGAACTGTTAAAACTTTGATACATGTTTTATAACTATCTAGCTTTAATTGAATATCTGCTAATAAAGACCACCAGCTCGTACTTAACATTCTATATTTGAAGCAATGAGCATAAACAATGATACTTGACCTTGGAAAGCAACTATAAAATAATAATTCTAATTATTTAACAAATTAAGAATATATTTCTACAGCTAGTGTTTTTGGAATAGCCCTTTTACCTCATAATAAGCTGTAATCATATTAACACTAAATTCCCTTTCAGTATATTGTATTCTACCTTTTGTCATCACTGATTTCCATAGCCAAACTAGAAATGTGTAGATGATATGCTGATTGGTTACCTAATTCCTTTCACATGAAGAAATTAAGGATTTCTCACTTTCTGTCTTAACTTTGGCCTGATATGTATTTTGTGATAGGGATGTCTGGAAGATGCAGAAGATGTTCTGAATTTTCTGCTTTGTGGCCTTCATGAAGAGTTGGGTGCTGTGATTAATGCCTTCAGAAATACAGCAAAAGAAAATTCCAGTAAGAACATATTGTGAACTTATAGTCAATAAAACAAAACCTATCATTGAACTGATGAAAATAGGAAAGATGGGTCTTATTTCCAATATTATATTGTTATTAAAAAAACAAAATAATGTACAGTGAAAAATCTGACAAATTGCTTAAATTCAAATACAGATTTATAGCTTACTAAAAAGTTTTATAACCATTAATACATAAAAAATTTTAACTTGTTTATTTCAATTATAATATTTATAGATGTCTGTGAAGCCATCCTGACAAATGGACATGTGACAGAAGACCAAGAACACGACCCTAATACCAAAAGCAATGTTATTAAATCGGTAAAGCTTTTGTACCACCACTTAAAGTGATTTATTTTTTCCCATTACTTTGTAGGATGGAAATTATATCTAAAAAATAACTGATAATGAAAGTTTGAGGCACACAAAAATGTGGGATTTTATAACTGTAGATTTTCAGCAGTTGCTTTTTCATTAGGTTTATAAGGGTCTAAATCTTGTTAACCCTGACACAATGTGAAAATTTACAAAACTAAATCTTTTAATTTGTATGACTTCACAATGTGTTATGAGATCATAGGGTAAATTTCAACACTTTAGATGATAGAATTGTGGTGGATTTCTTGGTCAAGTTTGAGATTACTAGTGTCTTTAAGGTTCAACAAATGTTAAAATTGAGTTTAATAAAGTTCATATTCAGTAAACATAAGCTGTAATGTAGAGTATGAATGTACTTTTATTTTTATCTAATGTGAAGTTCTTCCTTCCAAAGTGACACATTTTAAGTAGTTGCAAGATTGAAATCTGTGTTAAAGCCATACATTTTGAAAGGAACCAGTGTGCTGCGAAAAAGAGTACTAATATATTTTCTCTACCAGAAAGGTTCATATTTATTAATATTTCTATTAAACTTTAGGATAAGTATCTTTGTAATTTGTTTTGTTTGCATGTTTGAAGGTTAAGTGAAGCCTGATAAGCCATTCTTATGACCAGAAAAATGCTGTCTGAATTGTTAGTTTGCTTCTTTCTATAGGATATGATATTTGTTTTCAGAGCCACTCCTTTCATTCTCCCATCTCTGATATATTTGGTGGACAAATAACGTCTACAATGACTGTGGGAAATGAAACATCCACAAGTTCACATCATTTCTTCACTCTCACTGTAGACATTCAGGTGATTTGTTATACTTTCTTTCAATAATCATCTTACTGAACCAGTAACTGCAAGTAGTCAAACTGGGTTTGAAAACCAGTTTTGATTTTATGTAAAGACTAATGCAATAGAATGAAGGATAATGAAATTTCAGTGTGATGTACATTTAATTCCACATGTTTGAAGTAATGTATGATTGTTAAAGTTTATAAGTTGTATATTTACAAAGTGATTGACCAGTTATATTTCCATATCTGAAGTAATCGTAATAAATAAATGTTTAGAAGTTGTGTATATGATCTATTTAAATACCAGGGAATACAAATATTATAGAGTAAAAGAGTACCAATATTTAGTAAAGATTGAGTGAGCATAGTTCTAAATACTAAGTAATAATCATTATGTTTCCACCGGAAATGTCGTATTCTAATATTTCATGCAAATTAAAAAAACGTTTTTGTTGTTAGCCAGAAATAAGCATTTTAATATACTGGATTGTTTGCATGGCCATATTATTAGGCTGAAGATGTTTGTCAAGTGAATGATGCTTTGGCCTACATAACTCCGAAAGAACTAGCCCATGACTTCACTCCAACAGATAGTAAAGGAGGGGTAAGTCTTTAAAATAATGTTTTAAAATTTGTATCAAAACTTTTGAAGTTTTGAGAAGTAGATAATACTAAAAAAAAACATTGTTTCAACAAAAATTACATAAGCAGAGTTTATAAAATCTTTTGTATAAATTGTAAGTATTATGTGACATGATTTATTTGTTTTAAGATATTATACTAGAAACATTATTGTAGTTCCCACACCTTAAGAAAAATCAAACATTGCTTTTTTCACTTAAAACCATTCCAGAGTTTAATCAATAATAATCAAATTTAACTAATTTCACTTGCTTTTAGAATATGCAAAACTCCAGAAATCAAAAGCATATCTTCTTAGAGCCATGAATATAGATTTTCTAGCTGTTAATGCAGCAATGGACATCAAATTGCTCTGCTTAATTTACAGTGTGTACATGAAATACATGCATATATATTTAAAAATAATCTAGTTGGAGATGCTGAAAATTTACATACTGGTTCAGCTTTTGTTTGTTTGTCATATTAATGGTTGGAATATCTTACTTGTGTAGATTGTCTTGAAGGCATCATATGTGAGTGAATTGGCATTAAAAGCAGAAACGCCACCCTATGGATGCCATTTGTGTTAGTAATTACTAATCGTAGTATTCATACATCACTGAAAAATATTCAGAAAAAGTGTATATTTTCTAAAAAAGGATTTTTACAGGAAAAGTGTTCAGATTGTGCTGATATAAACTGTAATGTTTTTATATATTAAAAGTGCTACCCTTTATTGAAAAAAGTAATAGTTTTTTAACAACTACAGTTTCTCAGTACTACATTTGAAAATAACCTCAATATATAATCCAACCCTCATGTACAGTCCTAGTGAAAGTCGTGTTCACGTTGTGAGGAGAATACTTTTATTTAAAATTGTGTTCTGTGATATAGAAATGGTTGTTGCACATACTGTAGTTATTTTTGTAATCGTCTGAATCTTGAATACCCAAAGTTGAAATTTTTTATGAATTTTTGTTTTTGGTGCTATTTATTGAATGGCATTTCTTATTTTGGACACATACATAGATAGATACACGTGTACACACTACATCCAATACAGTAAGATTGTTGCATGGAGAGCACTAAGGTTAGCCATTATGTCTGATAGTTTGTATTTTGATACAAGAGAGAACAAAAATGACCTGAAGTAAGTTTATATGTCTGTTACAGGAGTAGCTGCATTTCACTAAATGAGGAAGTTAAGACACTGAACCTTGGAATTGTTTATAAGTTGTGTCTACATAACGTACAGTGTACATAATAGACTATTGGAGTTATACTTACTAAAATGGAAAAATTAAGAGTGCTTGCACGTAACTGTTAAGATTAAAAATTTTTAAATACATTCTTTTGAAATTAAGATATTCAAACAAATAATATAAAACATTTAATTAAAACAACATCTACTCATAAAAAAATTGTGTAAAACATTTTATATTATTCAATACATTTTCCAAACCCATAACAGAGCCCTGCCTATCTGTCTTTCACTTTCAAGGCAGTTTTCAAAACTAAATCTTATTTGACACACTTGTTTATAGCCAATAGAAAGAGTTTATTTTCAATTTCAAGATTACATCAGTCTGTTTGAAATTTGCAGCAGTATATGATAGTAATATGTCTTGATTTTGTAACTTGTTGGTAAGCAAAATTTGCACTCGTAGTATTTAACAATTTTATTGCCTTGTTATATCAGTTTGAAAGATAGTTCAATTATAGTTTTTTTTTAACAACATATTTTAGTGAATTAGTGTATTTTTGTTTTTAAAATGCATATTTGGAAGATGAAAGGTTTTCATGTTTGGAAAAGAAGTTAGAGAAAATTTAAACAATGCAGAACTTTACATGTTTATGGGAATCTGGTATGAACTGTCAGATAATGAAATTATAAAATGAAAAATAAACTGTGTAAAAAGATAGTTGAAATGCAAACAAAATCATCAAGTTATGGAAACTATTTATTAAAAGAAGAAAAGGGTATATTATTTCATAATTTTCAAAATTTCATATCACTGTGCATTGATGATTCAGCTACAGTTAGGGAAAATAGTAGAAACTACTTTACCTTAAATAAACTTATTTAGAGGTTTCAGGGGGCTATGCAAATTAATTATGAAAACTGCAAAATAAAAAGTAATATTTTTGTTTTTATTGCTTGAAATCATCTTGCGTTCAGACTGTTCAGAGTCTGAAACAGACTGACTGTAAATTGACAGACACATTTTTAGTAAAAATACTTTATTAAAAATCAGATTGTTTTGTTTATGACATTCTTGTAATGTTTACTGAAAGCTTGGAAAATTTCATGAAAATACACTTTGTAAATTCATAATTATAGTAAACATTATTATGTATAGCTTCACAGAAACAGAGGTGAGTGGAAAACACCTGCAACATCTCTATAGGGTTAAACAACATTTTCTCTGACTCCTCCCTGAAATGAAAAAGATACTACTAAAGTTTTTTTTTATTTGTTTGCTTGTTTTTTTTTAATGCAGTGTTTCAATAAACATAGGATGGTTGCATTTATAGCAAAGTTCTAAATACAATGAGGTTCCAACAAATATTCTTGTGTATCTGTTATTGGCTGGTAATTCCTGTTTCACCCTGTACTTAAGCTTTTTAAAGGAACACCAAATTTCTGTAAGAAAGCTAACTTCAACAGGTAATGATAACATCATTTACACTAGAATTATGATTTTTTAAAATTACTACTAGTTATTAATAATACTTATGAAAGTGGATACTCTGTTTGAAACTATGTCACCTCAGTGAAATTGGTTGACACCATTATTTTGGTTTTTAAGTTATCTTGTAATAAAAAGAAGCAGAAGAAAATGAACAAGAAATTCAAACTTTTTGCTATGATACTTACAGACATTCCCAGAACTTGTGACTCAGTCATTACTTAGATATTGTTATGAAAGGAAGTACTATATAGTATTGTAAAGTTCTGATGATCTATTGAAGAGAAATTTAAAATACCATTTCGATATAGAAACCAAGGCATCTCTGATGAAATACTTGTTATGTAAATATATAATCTGTCTAAATATTGAGTCAGAATTGTTCTTTGGAGTAATTTCTTACATGAACACTGATGAAACTTGACTTCTAGAATATATTTATTAAAAGTACGTGTATGTTTGGAGTGAGGATGTAATGGACTATCGACTGTTATTTTTAGTAAGATAACTTAGTGTTTCTATTTTTTTTTTTGTATTTAGAAATGTTGAAACCAGCTCAGTGCTACTAATTTACCATTGTGCAGGAAGGAGTTAAGAGTTAGATGTAACATTAGATTTTGCAAGCTATAGATAAGTGTAGTATTTTTGAAAGATGAAACATGGAAAACAATTTATAAAATGAAAAACAAAATTGCTCTCATGTTTCAGGTTGAAGCATTTCACAAAGTAGTTTTGAAAGTACTTCCTTTGGTTCTTGTGCTTCACATCAAAAGATTTGTGAAAGAAAAAGGAGCTAAACCCAGGAAAGTTTTCAACGATATTGAGTTCTCTATAGATTTAGAAATTCCAGAAGGTAAGTTTTATGTTGGATGCATACCTTGGTTATATGAAAATGGTATTTCTTTTTTCTTGTCCGTAGACTTTAAGTACACCTTTTATTATTGTAGAATTGGATGTAATTAGTCAATATTGATTGAATTATTATTATTATTATATATACATTAAATTATTAGATAAAAACATGAAATCTCTTCTTTTCTTGATAGACCAGTATTAATAGCAGTCATTTTCCTTGTGCATTTTGAAGAGTATTCTTTGCTCCCTTTTTAGAAATGCCATTTTATTCTTGAATTAAAAAGTTAAGTCTCTATGGTAAGTACTTGTCCACTCTCACGTTCCCAATTTTTGACTCTTGCAATGTAAAAACTTTAAAGAAGATATAGGAGAGCAATACATTGAAGTATGTATGGTGTTTTTGTTATGTTATTAATAATTAGTTACTAATTCTTTCACTATATAATAATTACGAACTTGTCTATAGCCTACATTTTGGCTGCTAATTTGCTGCCATCTTCGGGAAAGCCATGAAAACTGCATGGTGGTGTTAGTGGCCAAGATTTGATATTGGGTTTTTTGTTTGAATCCTAGCCTCTTCTGAGGCTGAGACTTAGGAAGTAAGTTTCTCAGTTATATTATTAAGAAGGAAGGTGTATCTTCTGAAAGTGCTGGATATCAAGTTTTTTATTTCATCTAATTTTTTTATCCTGTGCAACGTATTAGTAACATGTTGAAACTTGAAAGCATACCTATAGTTGGACGATAACCAAACTAAAGTGTTTAGTGATAAGTTAAAGGCCTAGTAGCAATAAGTGTGCACATGAAGTTCTGTTGTTATACCTTTTTTTTGGTGAAAATCCATACACAATAGTTAAGAATAATAGTTAAAATTAGCAGTAACAATTTAAAAAAACATTATGTACCTCTAGATTTGATATTATTATTAAATTGTTTTGTTTCATGTTTAAAAAGAAATGCTGTAGAAAGATAGTTATTGATATGAAAATTTTATTACAATTATACAGAATTCCTGTCACAAGATATACGAAGGAAGTACAGCCCTCGAGCTCTGAGGTCCTATAAACTGTTTGCTGGTATGTTGTAGTGATTGGTCTGTTTCTTTTGGAATAAGTAAATATGTTAAATGTTTGACATTTGTAAACAAATGTTATTTTGCTTTTTCCACTGTTTTATAACTTGTTATTATTATAAACTTCACAATTATATCTGTTGTATTTAAATTTTGGTACAAAATTTGCCTCTTCCATTTAGAGAGTAGTCAAGAAACCTCTACTTGACAGAGCACTATCTGAATATGAGCATTATATTATTTTGTAAGTTTTTGGGGTACCTAAAAAGCATAAGAAGTGTGTTTGTATTTGAATTATGTTAGCTAATGTAATGATCTAACGAGGAAAAGGTTTGTACTCAGACATGTGATTTTTTCCTATGGTTTTCCATGTTTTGACTTAATATGAATCCATGAATCTTAAAGTTCTGAGGAACATAAAATCATAGGTTAAAAAATATTTTGTACAACCATAAAAAATATCCCCCCAAAAAATTTGAATATCAAGTTCCACTGATTGTAAAAACTGCATATATTACACCAACTTTAGACAACAACAAAGCAGCATATGATTTTTGTAGTTTATTAGGAACCAACCAGTTATGCTTCTCTTAAGAATAACAAATTTTCTGAAAAAGAGTAAACAGAATGGATAGAAAAAACTATGTATACTTTAACTTTACCAACTTTCATATTCACCTATTTTTTTTTATAACAATTCCCATTTTTTTTACAATGGAACATATCTGATGCATTTTAGGGTGCCAAAAAAATCTTTAAAATCTGTTTTTGCCAGGAACAACCTCCCAACAGACCACCAGCCAAATTTTCTGAGGATTCCACTTTGAAAGAGTCGTGTGTGTCTTCTTAAGACAGGCATGCTGATCTCTTGAGAACACTATTTCTACTTAAAATCAGCTAGTGATTTTGACCTCATGAGAATAGTATTTGTACTTAAAATCAACTAGTCTTGATGATCTCCTTAGTATAATATCTGCACTTAAGATCAGCTAGTCATGAAAATCTGTTGAACTGTTTTTTCACTTAAAATCAGCTAGTCATTTTGACCTCTTGAGAACAGTTTGTACTTAAGATCAGCTAGTGATGAAGATCTCCTTAGAATGGTATTTGTACTTGAGATCAAATAGTCATGATGATATCTTGAGAATGGTATTTGTATTGCATCTGTCATGTGAAAATGGGTTTTCTCAGGGTACCCCCATTTTCCACACACACCAAATTCTCAAGCATTGGATTTTTAGATCCCAGCCATGGCATAGGAGTTATAGCTCCCTGCCACCTTAAAAGGTCCCGCCCCATCATTTCAGTTTCACCTCCACATCTAGCAGTAGAGCCCGGATGTCAGAACCAAGTCTCTTCACTGACGATCACTTCTGCCTTCGCGTTCCAAACCTTGCCTCAGCCTATCAATCTTTCTTGTAGACCAAAATTGGAAAAAATTTGACATTACAGTAATTATAATTAAAACCTCTGAAATGTTAAAGAAACTCTTGAGAAGGGTCTGCATATTCCATTTTGGAACACTGCTGACTCTTTCTTCAAACTAACCTCCTGTTATGGTTAAAATAAATAAAAAATAGGTATTTGTATTGGAGATAACTAGTCATGATTATCTTTTGAAAACTATTTGTACTATAGTAAGATTAGCTAGCCATGATGCAGTATTTATACTGGAACTAGGTTGGCTATTTGTGGTGGTCTTTGCTAAAGAAGTTGATTTTTATATACATGTATAGTTTCACTCTTATGATTTAAAGATGCTTGGAATTATATACAGCTTCACTCACCAACTTTTATCACAATTGGTGAGATCCTTTCAAGTGTGGAGTTTACATCTGCATATAAAATTTTGATAAAAGTAATATTTGGACAATTTATTATGCAAAAAATATTATATAATTGACATTTTGTCATTGTGTAACAATTATTTAAGTTTACATTACAAAGAACACAAAATTTCAAACTTCCCTTTCTGCACAGCTCCAAGGAGTCTTGCTTCTAATCAACACATTTATTGATTTTACATAATTTTTAAATAATTGTTCTGTCCATCTGTGAAAACATAATAATACATTTCTTGTTTTTCATGTGATGATTCTTCATTGTTGGTAATTTTATTACTAGTCTTATTCCAACTCTCTTGTGAGTTACCAGATATCAGAACAGTTACTAATAATAGTTTAGGTTTGAAAAAAAAAAAGATTCAATGGCTAAAATGACTGTATAAGAAATTCTAATATATTTTTGTGAATATAGAGTAAATAAAGTGATTTTAGCAGTAATTTTATTTCTTGATAAAATGTCTGTTTTAGAACTTCTGTCAATAAAAGTTGAACAAAAAATGTTAATGTAAAGTTTACAACACTTGAGAGGAAAGTGCAGATCTGGGAATTTTTTGATAGTTTTTTTTGGCATTGTTCTTGTGCCTGAAATTATTTTTACATTAAGTTGTATTTGAAAAGTACAGGAATTTTATCAGGTAATCTTAGTTAGGCTTAGAATCTACACTTTAACTGATGGCAAGATATTCCAATGGCTAAATTTTTTTTTATTTTATTAAATGTTAATTTCAAGTTTAACTTATTCAAACAAAGTAGTTGTCAGTTTTTGCAATGTTTTTTATGATTCATAGGTGGAATTGGTGATTTGTTGTTGTATTAAAATACGTCCTAAGTAATTGTGATGAACATAACATCTAACAGTCTATTTGTTTTTAAACCATTAATAGTATCTTATAAAGATAAATGAAATAATTACTAATTTAACTACATTACATAGATATTGTTATAAAAGGAAACACTGTATAGTATTGTAAAGTTCTGATGACCTATTGAGGAGATATTTAGAATACCATTTTGATGAACAATCCCTGCCATCCCTACATAGGCAGTGCTGCCACCTATCTGATGCTTAAGTTACAAGTTATTTTCCAAATGGTAAACAAAAAGTACCAAACAATCTGCAAATTCTAACAAGTACTGCAAGTCAATACAGATACATAAAGCATCAGTTTACTAATGGTATTTTATCATATACACACACATCTTAGAGACTGTGTGCCTTATAATATTTCCTACATATAAACTGTACATGACTTGCTGACTGAATCACAAGTTCTGGGAATATATGTAACTATCATAGCAAAAAGTTTGAATTTCTTGTTCTTTTTTCTTCTGCTTTTTTTATTACATGATAGCTAAAAAACCAAAACAATAGCCTCAACCAATTTCCCTGAGGTAACATAGTTTCAAATGGAGTATCCACTTTTATACGTATTATTAATTAGTAGTAATTAAAAAAAAAGATTATAATTCTACTGTAAATGTTGTTATAATTACCCTTTTAAGTTAGTTTTTTTTTTATTATTATTATTACAGAAATTTGGTGTTCCTTTAAAAAGCTTAAGTACATGGCGGAACCAGAAGCACCAGCCAATAATAGATTAACAATAAATACTACAGTTGGAAATTTGTACTTAGAACTTGGTTATAAATATAACCTTCCCATATCTATTGAAACACTGCATTAAAAAACAAGTAAAGAAAAAACTTTTCAAAAAAGGTAGTAAACATAGAGGT